TCGGAAAAAGTGTGTTCCATTTACAATTGTGGTCACTGAACCGAAAATTTCCGGAAATTTTGTGTAAATGGTAAACACCCAATCTGCCTGAAAGATCCCATCCATGGAGAGGTGAAATTGCAACATCAGAACTAACATATCACAATGTGAAAAAAGGATTGAGATTGTCCATCACCCCAGGACAAGCGGAAACCATACCTGGTAATTTCAGAGATGAGTGGCTCCCTTTGTTAAAAAGTTGTTATGCCCACAAAGGAGATGATTGCCCATCAATGAAAGATGTATGCAGGATCCTTTCCAGCTTAAATGGTAGAGAAGAGAAATCCTAACAATAGCAAAATGGACATTCCATTGGACATCCACCAGGGTACTGTTTCAGAGCTTGCAGGTGACATAACAGCATCAATGTTCAAATCCAATGAGATAAATGAGGGTATTCAAACTGATCTACCTAATAAGGTTGATACTGATGATGGGACAAATGCATGCGCATTCCTTTCAATGAAGGTAGGTGATCTTCTTTATGACCATACTCGTCCCCAGTGCACCTCGGTCGTCTCTTCTCCCTTCATTAGCACTGGTAACAGCCGTTTGAGGCTCGATGCTGATTGGCTAGAAAGTTCCAGCATGCGCGATTTTCGCCGTACATTCAACCGTCTCTCCTCGMTCTTGATTGGTCRAWTTATAAGGATRCTCGGARCTTTTTAGATGGAAACCTAGTGCGCATAAAGCCAAATAAACAAAGCTGACCTTTTCCTAACGAGTTCAGGTCGAATTTCAAAATGTGACACCCATTGCATTGATGAAAACCATGGTGGTAGTGTTAATGCCTTTGTTAAGCTTTGTACAAAATATTCAAAAGCAGCTGGAGCAGATGTTATTTTTGGATGGTTGGAACAATGAATAGGTGAGAAAAGGAAAGTGCAACCTGAATCACTACTTTTGTTTAAGCTGACAACATCCTCATCAGGTAATGCAGCCCAGGGAGTCATTGCAAAGCCAAGATAATGGAAATGAAGAATGTATTTCGTCTTGTTTAACCAAAAGAAAACCTCTGATGAAGAAATAGATGAGGTTGATATTTTCATGTCTGAAATGGATGAAAAGGTAATGGTTGATGAAGAGGATAATAACCCCACAACAGTGAGGAGTCTAAACATAATTGAGGAAAGTGCAGATGCCGTACACACACCACCAAATGAATTGCCCCCCATACGTGACAAAGATATGGTAGTGTGGAAAGGTCACCTCGCGAAATTTGGATTAACTGATTTAAAGGCATTCCAGCAACAAGCAATCCAAGGTATCGAAAAAGTCTTGATGTCATAGTTGTACAAGAAACAGGGAGTGGCAAAAGTCTATGCTTCCAACTTCCCTCTCTGTTTGAAAAGAATAAGTATGTTGTGATTGCGAGTCCAACAATATCTTTAATCAATTCACAATTGGAGTCTCTGAAGAAGGTCAACATTGACGCTATATCATTAGGGAGGCCCGCAGAAGGGGAATCAGTCCAAAACTAATGGTTTATCAACCCCAATGAAAGCAGTCTATCTTCCATTGTGTACATGATTCTTTTGAAAATGTTGCATTTGACCTTGAAAGTAACAAGTCAAGCATGAAGATGATTGATTTGGATGAAGTCCATAAAATGTTTCATCGAAATTCAGATTTCAGGACCAGCTATGACTATTTGACAAAAGTGAAGGAGCGGTTTGAAGAGATTCCTTTTATGGCCCTTACAGCTACATTGAGTCAATCAAATCTGGCTACTTTGTGCAATCTTAAAGTGCCCCTCTGACGAAAATTGACATCATCCCTGAAAAATTTTGTTACAATTTTTGGAATAAGCGTGCTCGAAATAATGAATCTACCAAATTTGAGAGGAATTCGTCTTAAGGGTGCCAAGAAAATGATATTTTTGCATGCCGAAACAGTCCCGCCGTCATATTGAGTGTGAATAAATGAGCCATAGTACAGCGGTTAGGCGCGTGAGCATAGTGACGTCATCCAATCAACGCGACCTGAAAGCTCTGTMCTCAAACAAGGGCCACCATATGAACTCAAATTCCCTTGTTGACCTCCCTTCTCCTTCATCTATCCTGATTTCTGTGCGCTTTGTAGGCATGTTTAAGTGCCAGTTGTCCATTTTTGCTGCTTCAAGTGCAGCTCTTCCTACAAGCTGGGTTGACATGCATGCAGGGTTAACTTCCTCTAAGCCTTTAAAAGCTTTGCTAAGCATAAGTGTCTTTTTGTTCTGTTCAGATAGAGCTGCCACCAAATTTCTTTGATCTGTGCTCTTGTAGGACACCTTCATTACCTTCTCCTTCCAAATAGGAAATTTTACATATTTTGCCATTTTCACTGTGTTTGGGCTACTTATACCACTTTTGCTTAGTTAAAGTCCACCTCACCCAATTTTTTTTATATTTGTAAAGAAAAGACTTTTGTCATAGTAACAACAATTTGTACAAACAAATTTGATTTCGTTTATTTAAACTACATTTTGAAGCGAAAACAACCGCGGACAAAGCCAATTTCGGGATTCCTGTGTGCCTGATCAATGTCTTCGTGATGACGTAGAGGGAGTAAGTCGTTCGAGAGACAACGATAGATACCTACAGTGAAATGACAGTAAAAATCAAATCTGAAACAAGAGAACCTGGAATTTGAACAGCTGTAAATACTACCTACATATATTGAAAGAAGTTACTTACCTGGGGCCGTAAATAACTTTTCCTGTTCCTCGATATTTATCTAGATCTATACGCAACACTTGTTTGTCCAGAATAATCTCTCAACACTTTGGCTCCATTTTTATAGCCAAGACATGAAATAACGTTCAAATCGTCAGAATAATCTCTAGTAGCATTAGATTTGCCGTTTCAGGCTGGATTATCCCACGTTCAGTCTTAGAAAACATAGATTTGTAATGAAATATGTGGAACTTGTACAGTAAACTTTGTATTTACCGAAGGACGAGTTACTCCATCTACGTCATCAACCCAGGCTCCCTCGCACTCGGCCAAAAATCATTTGGCTGAATTAAACGAGCATAAAAAATATAAAATTTGGAAATTCGAATTTTTTTTATGTGAAYTTGTGGTTTATARCTMCTAAACTTTTTTTTCCAACTGTAAAAAAAATTGGGTGAGGTGGACTTTAATGACTCAAAAATTCTTCTGAACATTCGGAAATTCCATGTGGTACCATTTTCCTACGAGTGTAATGATTTATATGCAAGTGATTTAGAATTAAAAAATAATATTAAATCTAAACAAAAAACAACTGTCATTTCACATAGTATGTTACAATCTAAAGTTGGAAAGTAAATGATTGCTATTCATTATAGCAATAGTACATTCGATAGTATTATTACTAAATACTATTTATAATAACGCAGTAAATGGAACTATATTGTATATTGTAGTACAGTAGTAGCCAGTACAGTTAGTATAAATAAATAAGTAGTTTTACGGGATTCTTGTGGTGCGCGACGTAAAATAGATGAAAAATTTGCTTGATAACTATTACCAAATCATCATAGATCGAATTGGCTTGACTAGGTCATAGCAATCAATTACTTTTTTTTATCTCAGAATCTATCGGACTATCCGTTTGTTTTATACTTAAAAAACTCATACATAATTAATGAGCAACTAGGCCAATAGAATGAGCCTATTTGGTCACATGCATGGACCTTTATATCTGATAAAACACTCCTTATTAGTATTCTTTATATAAAGAATACTAATAAGGGTGACCTTTATCAGATATAAAGGTCCATGACCCTAGCAAAGGTCTCAGGTTTGAAACCTGATCATTTACCAATGCAGGATGTCAACCGATTGCAGTGAACAATCAAGAGCGGTTCTATTTTACTTTATGCGTATTCAATGTGGGATGACAAGAGTGCTTTGTAAAGTGATTCGCGCATGATCAGTTTGCCCCATTTACCTCAAAATTTATTTTTACGTCAATTTCTCCAAGAATTTTAACGGATTTGAGTTTCAAATTAGTGTTGGAGTTTTTTAAGCCGTTTAAAACACTCGAGATCGTGTTTTATCAGGTATAAAGATTCTCGCCTTCGGCTCGAATCTTTATACCTGATAAAACACTCTCTCTCGTGTTTTAAACTATACATAAAAGATATGTCTGCTTTTACCTGGAGCACGTGGATAGTGAGCAGAGTTAATACATTCCACCAGGGTAGATAGCCATTCAAGATATCTAGCCTTTCCTCCTTTCCCCCGTCCTCTTATTTTCTTGGGCATTGGAGCGTGAATCTTCTCACCATTATTGCTAAAAAACTCGCAGAAACTAAGATTATGCCCAGGATGTCGTTTGTCGTAGTGTGTTTCCAACGCCTTTTTACTCCTGAACGCTTTGTTGTCCGTACATAAGGGGCAGGGTGTTGTGAACACTTCAGAGATGATAACAAACGAGATCGGTTAAGAAAAAGATAGATTTAAAGACTTAGTTGCTTTGAAAGTTTAAGACCACGGATAGTAAGTATTCATAGTCAGTATTGCTAGCTCAGATTACATTGTTTACATTTCCGGTCATTTCTTGCTGGCCAATCATTTACCGTAAAGATATCGTTTTCCGTTTATGTAATGCAGTAGTAGTATACTAATTAGTATACTAATTTTGTAGATTTAAATGTGGTAAAAATACAAATTTCGCATGGCTTTTCATTGTATGTCCTCTTACGTATTGACAAACTTTGCAGCGAATACACTGGCAGGTGCTCAATTTGTTAGTTAAACAATAATATAATATACAATAATAATAGTGTCAAATAGCTATTGCCATTTTACAAAAATCTTTATACAAAAGTTTATAATTCAGAAGAAAAATTTTCCATATCTTACAAAGAACCGACAAAGCCAGTGAATCTCATTTGTCAGAATGATGTTTGATTCAATAATTAAACATATCTACAAGTTGCAAAAATAAGTTGAAAATAAAGGAAGAGAGTCAAAAGGTGATTACATATTAAGGTAGTACCGGACCTTTGCCACTGCGCATTGCACTCGCGCATGTCACTTGTTCGGCCAAGTGGTCTGGTAACTAATGTTTATCAAGTGTTTCATTGCAACATACATTGCAATGGCTCCTTTTCAGACTTTTCGGTCAAAGTGTGTCCGTTTTCAGCCAAAACGTCACAATGTCTTTTGGAAGAATAACAAAATTACAACTATTGCTAATGAGAATTCTCTGGAAACTGAAAAATCAATTAGAAAAGCCAAAGAAAATGAGAGCTGGAGGGACGGTAGGAGGTTAGTCGACATCTGATTTTTATGCGACCAACTTGTAAAGGGTTGTTTTGATTGCTCAAAACCCTTAAGCTTGAGAAATGTTTCGAAGGAAACTATTCAGGGATTCGGAAGCATTCTCTACATCGATTGTGAATGTGGTGTGTCAAACAGTGTTTTGACGGGACGAGGGCATGGCGCGATTTTTGACGTGAACACCAAAGCAGCTCTGGGAATGGTGGACGCTGGTATTGGTCCGGCACAAATGAAAAGACTTTTAGGAATAATGAATATTCCAACTCCCGATGAAAAAACTTTAAAAAAGCGAGAATCAGAAGCAGGAGAGGCCATTGAAAACCAAGCCAAGCTTTCTTGCAAATCAGCCCTGGAAGAAGAAGTTGAAAAAACCAATAATCGATAGGTAAGAAGCGTAAGTAAGAGATGAATATTAGGACACTCGGTTTTCTTGAGTTCAAATTATCTCATAAAGAAAACGAAGTCATTACAAATCAAAGTATGTATTGTGATGCTCTTAATTTTAGGAAGATCTAACCTTAATTTTATCAACATTTTGTCGTAAATAAGTTGGGGATTATAAATGATTTCACTACGCACGATGTTTCGTTGTGCATTGCTTTATCGACAAATTTATTCCATAAAACAATATCTTTTCATACCATTCTACCTACATATCCTTAAATTTGTGACATAAGATATAGATATACGGAAATTCCCCCAAAAGTTTGATTTTACACGGGACACTGTTATTCAAAATATTGTAAAATAGGGAACATGGACTCGTATCCATAGCAACTGGATCTGTACGGACTGAACAGAGTAATAATAATACAGGAAATAATCTATAATTCTAGGCGGTATGATTAATATGATTATTATTTGATCATTGTTTTCTTTTTATCTATCAAAACAATTCCAGTGAAAATGGAAGGAAAAAAATTACTGCAAGTTTTGATGGTGCTTGGCAAACAGGAGGATCAGGAAGATCTTATAAGAGCTTATCAGGTTCGAAAATTCTTCAAAATACTCATTTTCCGATACAAGGTTACATGTAAAGCATATTATTCTTTAGGACATTCAACACTCATTTGACAAGCCACAGGAAAAGTATTCAAATTCTCAAGTAGAATTAAAAAATGTAAAAACTGTGATACTGTTCAAAAAATACATAAAAAAATCAAAAAAAAAAAAAAAAAAACAAGTGCCGGAAAAATTGGCTTGGTCTAAGCTTCTAAGATATAATAAAGTATCTGTCCACATTTCGTACTTCTTTAAATACAAAGTAGTTATCTACCATAAAATCTGGATAGTTATGCTTTAGATTTGACCATCAGCTAATGCAAGGTTATCTGTCTATTATTGATTGTGAGTTTACAGACAATATTCTTTATGTTATTTTATTCTCATATTGTTTCTCCTCTCTTTAGATTCCAGAATCGTTGCCGCACTCTCAAACGAAAGAAACTGTGTTAGCCTCATGAATGCTGACGACTTGAGAGACACTGCGAAAGCTGTAAACAATTCAATGTCTCAAAACAGCGTCCAAGACGTGAGCGAGAATGAGAACACGGACAGAGTTAGCGATTCAGAAGATGACGAGTGACTGGCAGATGCTGTCTATGATAGCAAGATAAAGCTTGATTGTATTTGTGAATAGTTTGAATAAAAAGCAATGAAATTCAAAATAAAATGAAATAATGTCACAATTTACTTTATTATATAAATGTCTATTAAAGTGTAACAAAACTGAAAATATTTTTCTGGAACGTTAACCGGCTCAAAAAGTATTTACTGCATTTTAGAAAGATTGAAAAGCAAAGAAATATATAATCATTGATGAAATTAAAAAAAGATCTTGAAACACAGAATATCTCAAGTACCACTAAATAATCTGACTGAATACTAGTCTTGTTTGTGGATGATTTCAATGTACAACTTAAAAATAAAGATGAAATGTGAATAGCTTTATATTTCCTGGACAATTTTTAGTGTACACAGAATTTAGTATAAAAAAATGGGAAAGTGAAAGAAAACGTGAATGTCACTTTCAAAAGAACAACATTGTCCCTTTAAAACCTCTGGTGCTAGATGCATGTGCATTGTGGTATACCTCCTCGAAGGTGGATTTGATGCTTCACAAGCGTTTCCTAGATCAATGATGTACGTACGCTCTCTTGTTATCAATCAACACGTTGTTGTTTTTCAAGTCATTGTGAAGAACATTTAAAGAGTGCAAATGTTCTATTCCTAAGGCTATGTCCTTACATATTTGCAGCCAATCTTGCTTGTTAATCACTTTTCTCATTTCAAGATATAGTTCTTTTTCTTTATCTGCCACAACTTGATAAAGAGTTTTTTTAACTCTTTATGTCCAATAAATTGCATGACAATACTTGGTGGCTGTTCGATGATCCCAAATATATACGGAAACCGATCGCTTTGTAGAGATTGCATTATTTTTGCTTCGTGTTTACATCTATCCATGTTTTCTTCCTTCATGTTTTTCACCACTACTAAAGTTCCTGTTCGCGTAAAAGTCTTCACGTAACACAAAAGTCCCTTCTCCAATTAAATCGTTGTCAGTTAAGTCAACCAGTTCTTCGGAATTTATCAAATTTACATCTTGCAGTCTAGCCTTTTTATTACTACTTCTCTGAGCATCTTTTTTGCTGGCCTTCCTTTTAGTAGTTCCAACATCACTGGCTTGGCGCTTGTCGTTTTTTGAATGTAGCTCCTTCAATGTACTCTTTAGGAGTGCGTTGTGTCTTTCAAGAGTTTTAATTTTTGTTTTGAGGTCAGCTAGCTGCTGTTGAAGTACTTCTTTGGTTGGTGGTGTTTCTACCTTTGTTTGTGTGGACTTACACAAACTCTCGATGCCAGTCATATCACCTAATGTCACACCTACGGCTATAGAGGAGCATTCTAGCCTCCATTTTAAAGGGGTATAATAATAACAAACACTATCTCTTGAGCGTGTTATTCCAGGGAATGCTTTTCTAACAACTTTTCCAAATAAAGTGTTGGTTGTTCCTGGAAATTTTTCTTGAAAAATTCTCTTCACCTCGTCTACTGTAACTTTRCCTTGTCCTTTTTCGTCTGTTTCAAAGTTTTGATTTAGSCTGAAAATACAACAAAAAAGAAAACACTCGATTTTTTTATCCCTGCTGCCATTTTACTGAATTGGGCTCTTGTCACAGCCTGAGAAAAGGATAATTAGCTACTATGATACCTACCACTGCAACATATGTGGTTCGTTGTCAGCCATATTGTGGGTGTTATATGTTTTTATGTCCAAATGACGTATGCAAATTTAGTCGAAAACAYGTCATCAATTAGCATATTCCACTTKAGTTCACAAAGTATAATAGTTTACAAGTACCGTCTTCGACACACCTTTCATTGTAACATCTACTGATCAGCTATAAAACACGAACTCATAAATTACTCTTGATGGATAAAAGTACAACTATTGAACATTCCAGTTATAAAACAAGTTTAAATTTACAGTCAAGTAGTGAAAGCGACATTGAAAACAACGAGTTTCTTGGATTCCAAGTATCTGATTGGCAGGAAGGAAGAAAAGTGACGCTTTTTAGCCCACTACCACAAACCAGCAACCTTACAACTAGTACTAATGAAGGAGCTAACGATGACGAGCTTGATGGCGAGGTTTGGATTAACACTGAAGACAAGGATCAAAAGAACAGTAACGCAGAAGAAGCCAAAACTACGTCGGCATCTGATTCGGATATAAGTGGAGAGCTGACATCATCCATCTTTTACTCGGCTCCGAGAAAGCCGAAGATCCCTAGAACAGTCACAGATGAATTGTCTGCTAACCAATCACCTCAATCTGATTCTGCTTTGGAGGGAGAGATAATCATAGAGAATAGCCGTCTGAACTCCCTAGAAAATGAGCCAGTAACATCTGACGAGGATATCCCACCTACTAAACCAAGAAAAGGTAAAAGTCTTTCACTCGTCCCATGATTATTTTCGTGTGGTTAGGATCTGCCAAAATTATAACAACAAAGCATCAGACTATTTTTAAAACTTTATCCACCTGAAATCTGCATCATTCCCTATGCCGTTGATATAGTGAATGTTCAAGTGGACAAACTTAGATCTGGAATATATAGTTTCGATGTCGAAATGACAACAAAATATCATCAGTTACAATCCGGTGGGGGGGGGGGGGGGGGGTACTCCCATATATTTGCTATACGGGTACGTGCCGTTGGCCAGGCTATGGTTTTTGGCATTGCTGTCTTAAACAGGGTATACATTTCACCGGAAATTGTCTTTAACAGGGTCTGCAATTTAGATAAAAGACCGAGATAATTTTTTGTTCGTGTCTTGGACAGGGTAATATTTTCATAATACCGTAGAAATAGTAGAAATACTGTTTCACTGTACCCGGATTAACGTTTTATCAAAAACGTCTTATTGTCTTCGATGGATGTCAATATAATTGCAGTTTTGATGGTTGCGGCGTATTTACTTGACTTATTTTTCCGATTTGTCGTGAATTATAGTCTTATCCCTAAATTATATTTCTAAAACTTTTGACATCCATTTAGGTAAAAAGAGGTCAACTGTGCAAACACCAGAAGAAATCCATGAGCGTSGCTGTTGTTCAGAAAACTGTTTATCTAAACTGTCATTGGAACAAATTAAAAAGGCTAGAAGCAACTTTTTTCACGAGTGTCCTACTTACGAGTCCCAACGGAAGAAGATCCTACTTTGGTTTGACTGGAACCAACCCAGAGAAGGAGAATTTTGTTACAATATATCAGGTAGGGAATCCCTAATAAAAGAGGGCGGGGGTCCTCGTCGTCCCTTTTAGGGTTTGAAATCAGTGTTTTGGTCCCGCTTAGGGTGATAATGACGAGAATAGGCCATTTGCATCAATAGATCACGTGACAATTCTTCCCATAGCAACGCCTTGCTGGATTGCAAGCTATTCCTTGRCGACCCAGTGTTTATATGGAGTTAGCGTGACGGGGTCAAGATTAAGTTGTCTTTTGTGGCTTAAAGTGCTTCTAATTGTGTATGTAATTAAGACTTAATAGAACTATAATCCAAGATTTTCTGAAAAGTATAAGTTTTTAGTTTAAAACGAATCGGAGTTYRTTTTATATCGTGTTAAAGCCGGTCGAAAGTGTACGCGAAGAAGACCATCATGGCGGCCGAAGTGTGATTTCGACGGTAAGTCCTTGCGCTTTTCTTTGTGATGATTTTGTTCGATAAAAACTTATCACAGTTTTTTCTCATTGCTTTATCATTTATGTATTATTATAGAGGTTAAGAACAACGTGGAAATAATGCACGATGAGCTTTCACTGCTGTGTGCCGAAATGTAAAAGTGACTCGAGGTACAACAAGTCCATTTCATACCACCGCTTTCCACCAGAAAAGAAAGCCAGTTTAAGAAAAGAATGGATTGTCAAAATTAAAAGAGATCCAGGAAAATCATTTCAGGTAAATAACTATAGATTTCTTTCATGGCAAGACTTGAATTAATGCATGCATGTTAGCAGTTTTGTGTTGTGAACACGGCTACTTCGAACAAGTATCACCATAGTATCACTCACAAAATCAACTTCTTAAGTCGACAATTTTTGGTTTAGATTGGCAGTAATACAAGAGTTTGTTCACTCCACTTCAAAGAGAACGACTTCAAAGCACATGGACAAATCAAACAGACATCTTCTTGTTGAAAATGCTGTCCCTTCAGTGTTCGAGTGGGCAAAAGCACCAAAGGAGAGGAGAAGAATATATATTCCAACAGACACAAAAGATAACAGAGTTGGCATCTACTACTGTGAAATCTTTCAATGCATACATTTAATTCACTCACATGGACTTTATAAGAAGTTATTGACTGATCGATTTATACTTTGCCATTTATTTAAAATTCAGATTGAAGTTTCATTCCTTCCAGTCGGTCACACACACATTGACGTTGACCAAATGTTTTCGAGGTTGTCAGTGGCGATAGCGCGAAGAGGTGCTAAAACGTACCCGGATCTCTTGAGACAGATAAGATCGTGTCTCATCCAAACCCAAGGTGAAGTAAACCAAGCTGGTGCGAGGCCACAGTGTGCACGGCTGAATAACATGTATGCCTTGAGGGAGTGGCTCGCACCTTATTGTGAGGAGCTTCACCGTCTGAGCGAGTACCACCAGTTTCAGTTCGTGCTCAATGAGGATGACTGCTGTGTAATCGACTTCAAGCCCTGGTGCGGTGAGTCAACATGGGACAGAACCAAGTACAAACCTTTGGGACCAGTACTCAAGAATGGAATACCCCCAGGCATCCCCGACCTCGTCAAGCCCAATTTTGAAGCTGTTTCCTTCGAGAGAATAGCCAAAACAGTGGAGAAATGCGAATCAATGGGGATTTTAAATGCTCCAGAAGTTGAACTGTGGGACGATTTCCTCAAAGAAGAAAAGGAATATGCAGAGATGTACGAAGCTCTCGAACCAACCTATTACAGTACGTAAAACGCGAATTGTAGTAACAATCTAAATGAGTAAGCAGAGCATTTTTATTTGAACAATAGCTTATTTTATTATTTTCATTTTGATTTCTCTACACTA